TAATGTTACATAAACTATGGTAATTTAGATGATTATGGTAAAAAAATTAAATTAATAAATAATCCTATAAAATAAGCATATTTGTTTACGGTCTTGGAATAACTCTCGCTCTCCACCAGCATGGTTGGTAGTTCCGCCTCATCCCGGCTCCTCCTTCTGATCGTCTTCCTCCTCCAACGTCCTCCAATGTCGGTGAGTTTTTTCCTCTTTTTCGTTTTCATTCTTGAACAATTGATTTGCTTGAACGATCCCGAAACCAACTTTTTGTGTTCTTTCTTAAATGGTTTTGAAAATCTTTTTTTTTTCATACATGAATGATTATGATTTAATTTAAATTGTTTTTAGCCTAGAAATCAATTTATCAAAGCTTATCCAACGATTCTTATGGAATGAGACGATGGGTTGATGCTAACTTTTTTTTCTTCATGTAATAATGTCAATTGGGAATAGCTCAATTGGTAGAATCATAGTCTTTTAGTACGGGAGAATGGGGATGCTAGGGTTTGATCTTTGATACTAACATAAATTGGAGTATTAACACTGTTATGTAATCAGTCAAGCTGCCATTTAAAAAAATAAAAATAAATAATGCTTTTGATTTAGATTTTTTTAATTTTTTTTTTCACTTTTAATATATAGTTTCTCAAACTTATACGTTAGTTTAATTATGAAAAAGTGGATGACAAAAATTAACCGTAGGAAAAAAGGGAAAAAGCTTGATAATAGCTAAAAGACAAGTATTGACATGAATTTTTAAGAATGTAAAGTGTAGACGCTTGAATGTATTTTGTATTGAAAAAGATTGTATATATACATTTACTAATAACATGTATATTTGAAAATTACAGGTATATTGTAAAATAGGTTAGGGATGCCAAGGAACAAAATGTTTGTTTTGAAATACCATCCGAGCTTAAATGGAAAATTTGTATATAATGCAATTGATTGAGGAAGAACATATTTTTCTATTCTTTAAGAATGTTGTTTATTTAATTCGCACATATTAATGTTTTATCTTTTTTAAGAATATGATGATATACTTGAACTTGTTTCGAAGTATTTTATCATATATTCTAAAAGGATAGGTACACATGTGTAGCAGCTACGCATTGATTTATTTTCTCGTGCAAATTTTGGTTTAGTGATTAAAAAACATATTAAAATCAATAGATTCTTAAAGAATTAATTATAATTCTTAAAAAATGAATTCCAATTCTTCATGAACGTCTTATGAGAATATCAATATTAATTATTCCTATTATCGATAATGAAGTTTTAACAAAAACAATCGATTCTTAACTATTCTCATCATGTAGAACAAGCTTTATTTAAAAAAAAATGATTTTTAACAAGAAATATTGCATGTTCCACATTAATAGATTATATTATATTCGCGTATTTTTCTAAGAATTTAATACGTAAGCATTTTCCAATATGCAAAATTTATTATACAATATATTTATTAAATGCGTAATCACTAATTAACTTTTTTTTATAAAAAAATCTCTAGTTTTATCAACCGTGTTAAAAGATACTATAATTAATTTAAAATGTAAAATATATAATTTTATTATTTTAAAACTAATTTAAATTGCATCACTTATTATTCCTACTTACCATAAATTATTGTAAACCAAATTGACTAATTTCTCTTACAAAAAATTAAATGTAGTTATATAGTAAATGATGTCACATGTTAATATTGTATACCTTAAGATCACAACCTTTCATTTTTTAATTTAGTGGCTAAAATTTGATCATATATTTATATAATACTTATGATTCATATTTAATCCTAACATTATATATATATATATATATATATATATATATATATATATATATATATATATATAGAGAGAGAGAGAGAGAGACAGATAAATAGAGAGAAAGAGAAAGAGCTAGGTTCAAATGTGGATTGACATCTATTGTACATACATGTGGACAATGTTATTCCGTGAGAATAACAAAGAAAATATGTTGTTTGACACAACTATTGTCATTAACACACATTCTTAATAGGTTAGGGATGTCAAGGAACAAAATGTTTGTTTTGAAATACCATCGGAGCTGAAATGGAAAATTTGTATATAATGCAATTGATTGAGGAAGAACATATTTTTCCTATTCTTTAAGAATGTTGTTTATTCAATTCGCACATATTCATGTTTTATCTTTTTTAAGAATATGATGATATACTTGAACTTGTTTCGAAGTATTTAATTTATCTTATATTCTAAAAGAATAAGGACACACATGTAGCAGCTACGCATTGATTTATTTTCTCGTGGAAATTTTGGTTTAGTGGTTAAAAAACATATTGAAATCAATAGATTCTTAAAGAATTAATTATAATTCTTAAAAAACGAATTCCAATTCTTCAAGAATGTCTTATGAGAATTTCAATATTAATTATTCCTATTATCGATAATGAAGTTTTAACAAAAACAACCGATTCTTAACTATTCTCATGATGTAGAACAAGCTTTATTTTAAAAAAAATTGATTTTTAACAAGAAATATTGCATGTTCCGCAATAATAGATTATATTATATTCTCATATTCTTTAAGAATTTAATACGTAAGAATTTTCCAATATGCAAAATTTATTATACAATATATTTATTGAATGCATAATCAGTAATTAACATTTTTATAAAAAATCTCTAGTTTTATTAACCGTATTAAAAGATACTATAATTAATTTAAAATGTAAAATATATAATTTTATTATTTTAAAACTAATTTAAATTGCATCACTTATTATCCCGACATACCATAAATTATTGTAAACCAAATTGACTAATATATCTTACAATTAATTAAATGTAATTATATAGTAAATGATGTCACATGTTAATATTGTATATCTTAAGATCACAACATTTCATTTTTTAATTTAGTGGCTAAAATTTGATCATATATTCACATAATACTTATGATTCATATTTAATCCTAACTATATATATATATATATATATATATATATATATATATATATATAAAGAGAGAGAGAGAGAGAGAGAGAGAGAGAGAGAGAAAGACAGAGAGCTAGGTTCAAATGTGGATTGACATCTATTGTACGGACGTGTGGACAATGCTATTCCGTGATAATAACAAATAAAATATATTGTTTGACATAACTATTGTCATTAACACACATTCTTAATAATTAAATAGTCTGTAGAGTTATTACATACTTTTTATTATTATTTACATTCTGTCAGAATATTTATTGAACCGTATTCTGTCAGAATGAAAATGAGTGAAAAAAATATGGATGAGAACAAAAAAAAAAAGAATTAGTGAGGATGCATGAAAATGACGATATTTTTGTAAGGTTGAACATGTGTGCATTTCTAAACAACTTATTCTTTTACTAATTCTCATAGAATAGCACTGTCCACACGTCCACACAATAATTTTTCATCCATATTATAACCTAGCCCTATATATATATATATATATATATATATATATATATATATATATATATATATATGTTGGTACAGTACAACCGTTGTATTCAAATTTTTATATCGTTACTATACAAAAACTATTTAATTGACATGATACATGTTGGCTACAAAACAAGTTGGTACCGATTTTATTGGTTCTATTGGTAACATGTTGGTTGGTTCTCTATGATATGTATTTGTCAGCCCTATGTTGTATGTGACATTTTAGGGAACTCATTAAGTTTTGTGCTTAAGTTTTTGTATTCAAATGTTTTCGGGTACTTTTGGTTTCAAAAGAAAGTGATTGGCTTGATCGCACTGCATCACCTGAAGATTTATTCCGCAATGATTTTTTATGATTTACTCTGATGTTTTGAAAATACTTTTAATCTGATCGTCTTTTAGGATAATGGATGAATGGTTTTGACTTGATTAAAATAAAAACTTTTACTCAGTATTTTGGGATGTTACAATGTATTTGCGTGTGTGTGTGTGTGTGTGTGTGTATATATATATATATATATATAGGTATGTGTGTATGTGTATACGTGTATGCTTATGTGTATGTGTATGTGTATATGTGTGTATGTGTATGTATATGTATGTGTATTAAAAATCACAAATAGTAATAGACACTACAATGTAAAACAATCAAATGAGTAATGAATCCCGAATGTATACATGACTTTATGAAAAATATTAATAGTTATAAGTTAGCGAAAAAAAACAAAACAAAAAAATGATGTTCGGTGTGCGAAAAATCAAAAATTAAAAAATGTATATGTAGGTAATCTGTCGGTAATTACCGACGAAATAGCGACGGAATTCTAACGGAAAACACATTCCAAAGGCAATCCATCGGTATTTCTCGATTTTTTAGTAGTGATTTCCAACTCTTGTTCCTTCACATTTTACTTTTCCTTGCTTATTTTCTTGTCTAATTAAGGAAAAAGGAAAATGGAATGTGAATATACAACCTTGGCAAATATTGCCGAAAAACGAGTTTATGTATTATAAACAATGTAAAAGATATCACAAGAGTACTTAGAGGTGTTTGGGAGTGTGTTTCTGGTTTATGAAATTTTTTTATCAAAATGCTTTTTGCACATCTTTAATAAGTCTGGTAGGTATGCATTTTTTAGAAAAAGACAAAAAACGGTGTTATTGGAAAGTGATAGTGTTAACAGGAAGCAACGTGAAAACGTATAACACCTAATAACGGGGTAGATAAGCGGTGTCTGCGTGATATAACATTTAATAACGTCCCAAAAGGTGCGGTCCGTACCGAGCAAACTAAGGGGTTTTGTGATAAAAAGTCAAAATGATCATAATATCATTATGAACCTCCCTATAAGTCCAATTTTATTGTTCAATCGTACATTTGCCAAATACACATCGCATAAAGATAAATCAAACATTTTATTTAATTTCACTTTGCTACCATATAACTGCTAAACATTTTTACTAAATGCTGTTTTTTATTTTGAAACACTATCCCAAACATCCTTAAGGAAATCATAAACCGAAAAAAGTTCTACACAATCAACTGGATGAGGAGGTCACCGTGAACATATCTAAACAATTCTCAGTTGCAAGCCCTCGATTCCAAAACTTATCATAGTATTCTCCATATGTGAACTGTCGATAAACAGCAGGTTCATCACCACTTACCAATTCTGAAGCAGGACCTATCACTGCATCACGAGATGGGCAGTAAAACGTTGGTATAGATATCCGTTCTTTCTCACAGTTCACCACAGCTCGATGAAGAACACTCTTGTACTTATCATTACTCAGCACCTGAACTTGATCACCAATATTAATGATGAACGTATTAGGAACAGGATCAACAGCAACCCAGTTACCATTTCGCAAAACCTGGAGACCAGGGACCTCATCTTGAAGAAGAATGGTGATGAGATTAAGATCAGTATGTCCAGGCAAACCATAAGTCAAATCTGGTTGTGGGCATGGTGGGTAGTAATTCAAAGCCATGTGTTGTCCATGGTTCCCCAATTGTCTGTTGATATAATCTCTTTCGAGCCCCAAGCTTTCCGAAATAGCCTCAACTAGTACGAGGGCTAGCCCTCTTGCACTCCGGCAATACTCCGCCACATGGTCGCGGAAAGCCTCCGGGTTGGTGGGCCATTCGTGGATGTAGTCATGTAGCGGGTGACAATGGAGTCTCAAGAAGTCTCTCCAGTTAGCAACCTTTTCTGTACGGATGTTAAAGCTGGTGGATAGTCTTGTTGTCTTTGTAGGGTCGTCGGAGTATGTCTTGAGCCTCTCTTCTTCCGGCAACTTGAAGAATTCTCTAGCGATATTCATCATGTTGGATATGGTGGATTCCGGTACACCGTGGTTCTTGACCTGAAAGAAGCCGTAGTCGCGGCAAGCTCGACCAATTTGTTGGACGACATGAGAGCGATTCGGAGTAGAAAGATCGTGGAGATCAATGAGAGGGATGGTATGATCATGGTAAACGTTTTGGAGATTGGGGCGTTGGGAGATTGGACGGATGTAGTTAGAGGGGACTTGATCGATCTTATCGGATGAAACTAGGTCGCTTAGAAGTAGTCTTTTGGTGTTGGCAGCTATTGTTGGAGATATATGAGCTTCTAACGCGTGTCGATCAGTTTTTATAGCCATTGAATTAAATAGAGAGTATCCGGTTTGGATTCATCATTCATGTCAGATGTGATTATGATGACGTATAACGATGCGTAGATGACAAAAACATGATAACCTACACTAATCCTAGGTAAGCCGCCAACCTTCGCAACAGTGTACATAACACTTTTTTTTTTTTTTTTTTTTTTTTTTTTTTTTTAACCAATCAAATCTTAAAAAAACAACTCCCACGTCAAACTAATTTTATTATTATTAATTAGTTTATAATACATGGAAACTTTCAACGGTATATTCAAAATTTTTATATAAATAAAAATAATAATTATTAAAAAATACAAAGATGTTGTTGATTATAAATAATTATAAATTAATTTATTAAGCAAAATAAATATAATAATGTTATTAATATATGATTTTGTATTTTTAAAATTTGAATTTGAATTTTAATTGAATTTGATTTGTTATCATAAAAAAAATAATAGAAAAATCTCACATTTCATAAAGATATTATAAAAAATTAACATGTGTCATTTTTAGTTTCATTAATTAGAACACTTATCTAGTATACGAGTTGATTTAAAAAACAGATTAAACATTAAATTAAAATGTAAACAGAAAATATTTGTTAATATATAATTTTAAAATAAGAAATTAAGAAAAGTATTTATTGCAATTCAATATTATATATATATATATATATATATATATATATATATATATATATATATATATATATATATATATATATATATATATATATATATAACTTGACTTTAATTTTAAAAACTGAAATAAATCAAAATTTAACAAATGGATAATATTTATTTCAAAAATATTATAAAATAACAAGTGTTAAAACTAATGAAAAATTAACATGTGGCAGAAAAAACCTTTATTTACCAAGGAGGATGTAGATGTAAATGTAGATTTCATATTTTCTTACTTATTTCATATTATTATTTATATTAATTTTTTTTTATTTTTTTAACTTTTATTAAAATGTTTATTTAATGTTATTTTTTATCTGGTTTTCATTTATTTCTTTTTGCTTATTTTTAATTTTTTTTAACATTTAACTTTTCATATTTGTTAACAGTTTATTCGTTTATATGAAACCGAATTTTAAAAAATTAGATAATCCGAATCCATAAGTTTTTTCTTATAGAACTTAAGAATGGTTTCTTACTGTATAAAAATATTTTACCTAAGTTAATCCAACAAAATATTAAAACCAAATTATCGGACTCCGGTAACCTACAAACCGGTTTATATATATATATATATATATATATATATATATATATATATATATATATATATATATATATATATATATATATATATATATATATATATATATATATATATATATGATAAAAAAAATAATGAAAACGGCTATCAAATAACACCATCTTTTTCTGTTGGATCTAAAACTTTAATTTAATTATTTTACAAATATAAAAAATTTAAGTTTTTTTTGTTAATTTATAGAAAAAACATCATAAATGATCCCGTGGTTTCCCAAAATCTTAAGTTTAGTCTCTATGGTTTAAAAACCTCATAGATGGTCCCTGTGCTTTCAAAATTTTTGACGATTTGTCCTTATCGCTAACTCCGTTAAGTTTATTCTGTTAACTAAAGGACATTTTCGTCATTTCACTACCACATGGACCATTTACGATGTTTTCTATAATTTTTTTTTTGAAAAAAAAAAAGAAATACTTAAATATAATATATAGTTTATAAAAGCTCTCTCTCTCTCTCTCTCTCTCTAACTCACACACACACACTATCTCTCTCTCTCTCTCTCTCTCTCTCTCTCTCTCTCTCTCTCTTTGGAACGCCATTAAGGATTTGAAGAACAAACCCACAATGATTTCTTTAACTCCTTCATCTAATCTAAAACCTGCAACATAACCTTAGCGATGTTACCGATTTAATAACCTCACCGCCATAGTCTTGATCAGAATCGCGCTCCAGCACAACACCACCATCCAGATTCGAAGCCGAAGGGTTTCCACAAGTTGTCGATTTCTTATGGGTCACTACCAGAGGACCGATGGTGAGTGGTGAAGGAAAAAAGTGTCTGCGGTGAGCAAGGGAAGGGAAACAAGAGGGTACCACCGTCTCCCACCTCCATACCCAAGTTGTTGATCTCGATCTCCGATGTCATCTGAAACATGTGTTGAGTTTTGAGCAATCTAACACTTCCTAAGTGTGCATGCAACCCTAATAAACCTTGGATCTATGTTTGTCTAAATACATGCAAAATAATAATTTTCCAAGGTTTATAACCTATCTAACATGGCATGGGGAACATTTCAACATAAAAGAGTTAGAAGAGATTACATACCTTTTGGTGAGTTTGGTTCTAAGGAGTTTGAGGGCCAAGCACCAATAGTGTGAATGCCTCAAATGGAATCACAAACACCACAAACTCTTGGAAAAGTTTGAGAGAGTATACACCTTGTATAAAATCGGCCACACACAAGCGCACACACACACACACTAGTTCACTAGTTTTCTCTTAGGCTCCATTTCATGCTCCATAAGCATGCTTATATAGTGTGCATGGTTAGGGTGAAACCCTAATAACCCATGTCTTTTCCTTTCCAAGGATCCATGGGTTAAAAGCTCCATGGATCATCCATGGACTTCCACATAAGCCTAGCCCATTAACAAATGAGTATTAGCCCACACTATATAAAACAAATAGCCCATAATCTAATTAGTATTCCTTTTAATCTCTAAATTAATTCATAATTAATTTAAGACTAAAACTAATTAAATAACGTAACTTCATATTAATATATTATAACTCATAATATATTAATAAACATATGTGTATAACTCTCATAAAATTATCCATAATAGTTTGGATGAGATGCAACCCAAATGGACCATGCCGGTCGGGTCAAGTATATACCAAATAAGTTATGGACTTAGACACCTTATCCAACAGACTCCCACTTGGATAAGTCTAATAACTGTATTTGCCTATAACTTCAGGAACCAACCAGCAATCGTAGCTCTCGAAAACTCCCTCGAACTATGAAGACTCTGTCGAACTATGAAGCGCCATTTTAGATAAGTGATCACATAATCCTCTGTTCTCATGATATCAGCCGGACAAACACATGGAACTATGTCTTGCTTATTGTCTAGCAGTTGTTTCTCGATTTTCCGATTTGTTTGACGAAGAACTTCACTGAACACATCGGTTTAGTTCTGACCAGGCCTGGTACATGGGTCAACACAAAATCATCGAGGGGCCCAGATATCGCTTCTATTTCTAGAAGGAACAGATAAACTTCGACTGATATGCTTGTTCTACTACTTATTGAATTGTACACAAAGGCACGTTTTATAACATCAAGTTACTGATGCGTTTACGTGCAATCAATGCACAACCAACTCATAGGTAACAACTCATATCTCTAGGTTTAAAGATTTATATGATGTTATCGTCTCACGATCACTCGAGATAAATTCCATGAAGTGATACAAGTGAGCGTGGGTTTATACCAATACTCATAACTTATGAGTACTCATGAATGTTGCAGCAACCATTGCCATGTCTAAACACCTTTAAGGCATCTACAAACCCAATTCATGACAATCTTGATTCATACCTACTTCCGACGTATGATCGATTGTGGAGGTTTGAATAAATTAATTATTCTGGAAGTCAAAACATGCAAAACTGAAACAATAGTAAATAATTGACAATGATAGTAACACTTTACTCATAAATAAATCACAAATTTTATTCATCATCAAACGTCGATTACATTTTACAAGTTTCAGGAAAACTATCTAATCTGTAAAACTAATATCGTCCCTCAGCCCGATGCGTCTCGCATGCTGAAAATGCTTAACCCTCGTCAGTCCCTTCGTAAGGGGATCTGCAGGATTCTCATCCGACGATATCCTCCTTGTCACAAGGAGTCCTTCTTCAATCTTGTGTCTTATGAAGTGATATTTTCTGTCAATGTGTCGGGATCTGCCATGATCTCTTGGTTCCTTGGCTAAGGTAACCGCACTATTGTTGTCACAGAAAATCTCTATAGGTTCCTTAATAGCTGGTACAACTCCAAGGTCTCCGATGAAGTTCTTTAGCCATATCGCCTCCTTCGCTGCTTCACTCGCTGCTATATACTCTGATTCACAAGTCGAATCAGCCACCGTCTCCTGCTTGGAACTCTTCCAAGAAATTGCCCCTCCATTTAAGGTAAAGATCCAGCCCGACTGAGAGCGGAAATTATCCCTATCAGTCTGAAAACCAGCATCACTATACCCTAATACTCTCAAGTCATCACTGCCACCAAGGGTAAGGATCCAATCCTTAGTCCTCCGCAGGTACTTGAGAATGTTCTTTACCGCGGTCCAATGAGCCTTGCCAGGGTTCCCCTGATACCTGCTGACCATGCTCAAAGCAAATGCCACATCAGGACGGGTACAAGTCATAGCATACATGATCGAGCCAACTGCGGAAGCATACGGTAATTGGCTCATCTCAGCTATCTCTGCCTCTGTACTCGGACTCTGAGTCTTACTCAGTTTGGTATTGCTTTGGATCGGTAAATCTCCTTTCTTGGAATTCTCCATGTTGAACCTTTTCAACACCTTATCCAAGTAGATACTCTGACTAAGTCCAATTAGTCTTCTACTCCTTTCTCTTAATATCCTTATCCCTAGGATATAGGTAGCCTCCCCTAGGTCCTTCATAGCAAAGCACTTCCCAAGCCAGGACTTAACCTCCTGCAAGGTTGGGATGTCATTTCCTATGAGTAGTATGTCATCCACATACAGTACCAAGAAGCTAACTATACTCCCACTAGCTCTGACATACACGCAAGACTCATCTTCGCTTCTCGAGAAGCCAAACTCTTTTACCTTCTCATCAAAACAAAGATTCCAGCTACGAGATGCTTGTTTTAATCCATAAATGGATTTCTCAAGCTTGCATACTCTATTAGGGTACTCTGCACTGACAAAACCCTCTGGCTGATTCATGT